TAATGTTATTGATCATGCTATTACAGTTTTTCCATTGCCCCCCTTTACTCCCCTCCACCCTGCACACCCTCTCCCACCCACATTCCTCCCCTTTAGTTCATTTCCATGTGTCATAAGTTCTTTAGCTTCTACATTACCCATACTATTCTTGCCCTCCTCCTGTCTATTTTCTACCTACTATCTATGGTACTTATTCTCTGTACTTTTCCCCCTCTCTCCTCCTCCCACTTCCCTGTTGATAACCCTCCATGTGATCTCCAGTTCTGTGGTTCTGTTCCATTTCTGGTTGTTTGCTTAGTTTGTTTTTTGTTTTAGGTATGGTTGTTAATAATTGTGAGTTTGCTGTCATTTTACTGTATGTGTTTCTTATCTTCTTTTTCTTAGATAAGTCCCTTTGACATTTCATATAATAAGGGCTTAGTGATGATGAACTCTTTTAACTTTACCTTATGTGAGAAGCACCTTATCTGCCCTTCCATTCTAAATGAAAGATTTGCTGGATAGAGTAATCTTGGCTGTAGGTCCTTCCTTTCATAACTTCGAATATTTCTTTTCAGCCCCTACTTGCTTGTAAGGTCTCTTGAGAAATCAGCTGACAGTCTGATGGGAACTCCTTTGTAGGAAATTGCCTTCTTTTCTCTTGCTGATTTTAGGATTCTCTCCTTATTTTTAATCTTAGGTAATGTAATTATGATGTGCCTTGGTGTGTTCCTCTTTGAGTTCAACTTCCTTGAGACTCTCTGAGCTTCCTGGACTTCCTGGAAGTTTATTTCCTTTGCCAGATTAGGGAAGTTCTCCTTTATTATTCATTCAAATAACTTTTCTACTTGTTGCTCTTTCTCTTCCCCTTCTGGTACCCCTATAATTCGGATGTTGGAATGTTTAAAGATGTCCTGGAGGTTCCTAAGCCTCTCCTCATTTTTTTGAATTCTTATTTCTTCCTTCTTTTCTATTTGGTTGATTTTTTTCTTCCTTCTGGTCCTCACCATAGATTTGCATCCCAGTTTCCTTCACATCACTATTGGTTCCCTGTACATTTTCCTTTATTTCATTTAGCATAAGCTTCATTTTCTCATCTAATTTGTGACCAAACTCAACCAATTCTGAGAGCATCCTGATCACCAGTGGTTTGAACTGTACATCACTGCTTAGTTGTACTTTTTCTAGAGCTTTGATCTGTTTTTTCATTTGGTACTTTTTTTTTTTTGTCTTGAGGCACCTGTTACATAGCGAGGGGCAGAGCCTTAGGTGTTCACTTGGGTGTGGCAACTTAGTTGCTGCATTGTGATGCTATTTGGTGGGGGCAGGCGTCTGAGAGGGAATAACGTTGCCTGCTCTGCTCTCTGCTGGATTTCAGTCACTTCTGCCGCTTCCCCCAAGCAAACTGGGCCCTTCTGGTGCTGTTTCCTGTGTAGGTGGGCTTGCCTACATTGTAGGACTCTGTGGGTCTCTCCAACAAACTCTCCTGTGAGGCTGGGAGTCTCTCCCGGCACCTCAACCCCCACAGGTGTTTTCAATTGGTATCTTGAGGCTTTATTTCCCTGCGCTGAGACCCTAGGTTGTGTGGTCTGTCTCACTTCCCAGTTTCACCTGCTTTATCTGTGCACGAATCGTGGGACCACCCAGTCTGCCAGCCGCTTGCGCACCAAGCCTCTCCACAATCCCATGCTTCGCTGGCTTTGCCAGCTGCCATCTTTTGCTCCCAGGTCCTCCAGCCACCACTTTTTTTTTTTTTTTTTTTTGCTGTGACCCCTTTCTGTCTGGATGCCTGACTCCACCCCTCCTACTGGTCTGGATGAATGTGTTTCCTTTAACTCCTTGGTTGTCGGACTTCCATATAGTTCAGTATTCTGTCGGTACTGGTTGTTTTTTGTTTCTAAATTTTTGTTGTCCTTATTTTGGTGGTGGGAGAAGGTACAGTGTGTCTATCTACGCCTCCATCTTGGTTGGAAGTCCTGAATTAGACTTTTATATATTGTATAATGAAATGTGTCAACATTTAATTCTGTATAACTCCGTGAATCAATGTTTCTAAGTGAATAAGCTATGATGTTACAGAATTATGCATGGGTAAAATGTCTTCCTAAAGTGCAAGATAGATCAGTGAATTTTTAATGTAATGCAGCACAAAAAGTTCATTGAAATGATTTCAAGTGCCATATTTCCATTAAGAAACTACCACTTGTTGAGTTTGGGTTTGCTATCAAAGAAAATATTTACAATTATCTGAAAAAGCTATCAAAACAGTTCTTTTCCCTCCCTGATTATATTTTTGAATGAGGCTGGATTTTCTTTACATAAACAAATTATAACAAATATGGCAACAATTGAATGATGTAAATATAACTACCCTGCTGTCTTTTATCAAGCCAGGCATTAAAAAAATTAAGACATTTGCAAAAACAAAAAACACTACCATTCTTCTAAGTTTTTTTTTTGTATTTGGAAAACCTGGTCATTTTTCATACAAATATGTTATTTATACACATCAAGGGCTTATTATTTTTTAACAAATTCATACATATTTAAATTTTTTCTCAGTTTTGCCCTGCCTGGGTGGTTTGGTTGGTTGGAGCAGGTCCCTTATACTACATGGTTGTGAATTCCATGCTGGTTGTAATGGAGGCAACCACTTGATGTTTCTCTCTCACACTGAAGTTTCTCTGTCTCTCCCTCTCCCTTCCTCTCTCTCTAAAATCAGTAAACATATTTTTGGGTGAGGATTACAATTTTTTCCTCAGTTTTATTTTCTAATATGTTAAATAGCAACAGAAATAACACAAAAACAAAAGCTTATTGGGGTCTTCAGTAATTTTTTAAAGTTTAAAGGAGTCTTGAGACCAAAATGTTTAGGAAATGCTGCTCTAGCTGATTCCAACTTACCCTTTGGATTTCAGTTTAGATTTTATTTTGGGGGAGCTTTTCATGGCCATCCTAGTTGGATGTGAGTGTCCTACATGCTACATTAATAATACCTTACTTATCAGCAGCTCTTCTCAGAGTCATTATATTTTATTTTTTAAATAACAATTTTATTGAGATACAATTAACATATCATACAGTTCACCTACATAAAATGCACAATTTTTAGTTTTTTGGTATATTCACAGAGTTGTGCAATCATCACAATCTATTTTAGAACGTTTCATCACCTCCATAAGAAAACCTGTGCCTCTTAGTAGTTACTCTCCAATTTCCCCCTAAACTCCCAGCCCTAAACCCCCAGCCCTACCAGAAGGCTAGAGTAGTAGCTTACTCATCTATTTTCTGTCTGTATAGATTTGCCTATTCTGGACATGTCATATGATTGGAATGATACTTTATGACTGGCTCTTTTCACTTAGCATGTTATCTAGTTTTATCTGCATTGTATGAGTACTTCTTTTCTTTTTATGGCCTAATGATATTACATTGTTTGTATATACCACTTTTATTTTTTCCATTAGTCACTGATGAACATTTGGGTTTTTTTTTTTACCCTTTTTCTATTGTAAATAATGCTGCTGTGAATATGTGAATATTTGAGTACATATTTTGGAGTGGACATACCTTGTTAATTCTCTTGGGTGTATATCTAGAAGTAGAATTGTTGGGTCATGCTAATTTTATGTTTAATGGTTTGAGGAACTGCCAGACTGTTTACCAAAGCATTTTATATTCTCACTAAGTAGTATATAAGGGTTCTAATTTCTCCATACCTTTGTCAACACTTCTTGTTATCAATTGTCTTTTCAGTTATAGATATCCTACCTAGTGGTATGTGAAGAGGTATCTCATTGTGGTTTTAATTAACATTTCCTTGATCGCTAATGATGTTGACCATTTAAATGTCCATTTGCCATTTGTATCTCTTCTATAAAGAAATAGTTATTTAGATTTTCTGTCAATTTTAAAATTGAATTTATCTTTTAATTATTCAATTTTAGTGGCTCTTTATGTATTCTGAATATTAGTCCCTTACAAATATATTTGTAAATATTTTCTCCATTCCTTTAGGTTGTCTCTTCAATACAAAATACAAGTTTTTAATTTTGGTGATGTCCAATTTATTTTCATTTGGTTGCTTGTGTTACATCTAAAACCCATCTCCTAATCTAAGGTCAGGAAGAATTATGCCTGTGTTTTCTCCTAAGAGTTTATAGTTTTAGCTCTTACATTTACGCCTTTGATTCCTCTTAAGCTAATTGCTCATAAGTTCCACGGGAGTGATCCAAATTCATTATTTTGCACGTGGATATCCAGTTGTCCAGCAGCATATGTTGAGAGATTTCTTTAATCATTTAATTGTGCTGGCATTCTTGTCGAAAATTGATGCTTGAGGGATTACTGGTTTATTTCCAAATCTCTACTCTATTTCATTAGTATGTATTTTTATCCTCTGTGCTTACACCAGTAGGGGCATTGTATTTTAAAGAAGAAATCATAGAAGGATTGTTCTTTAATTCAAAGCAACAAATTCCAGGATTGGAATTAACTCCTTTCCCCCATAAGTTCAGAACTTTTCAGCAGCGTCTTTTTTAACAGTAGTCACCAAGACTGTCCAATGGGATCGTTGTTTTGTTTTGCTTCCCTTCTCCCCAAATCGAAGTCATGTGTTTGGAGGGGGGCTGCTGGTTAACCAAAAATGTTAGCTCTATCCAACGCTGCTATCCAACTCAATTTATTTCTGCAGGTTGACGAGCAAGGCCAGGAGACAATAGAAGTATCTCGGTTCAGCCTTCAGAAACGTGGAAGGTGCCAGAGGAGGAGGAGTCCAGGCTGTCAGAACGGTGCCAAACACCAAGTCTGGGGACTAGGAACTTCCCTGCATCCCCGCCCCCCGGGGGATGGGCTCGAGATCCAGGCGCAAGGCCTGGTTTTTAGTGTAACACACAGACTGTTTTTAATTCCCTAACACAATCACAGCAAAGCAGCTACCAAACCCTCCTGCCCTAAGTACGGCCCACGCCCCGCCCCGTTTTCCCGCCTCTCGTCTCCTCTTTTTCCCCCATCCGTTCTCCTTTTGCGTAGCGGAAGTGACGCGAGACATAGCGGAAGTCCCTCCAGACACGGTGTTGTGCTCTGGGGAAGAGAGGAGGATTTGTAAACCCCGGAGCAAGGTTCTGCCTACCCGAGGCCGCTGCTGTGCGGAGACCCGGGGTGAAGCTACCATCACCATGTCTGACCAGGTACTGGACTGGGAGCCATCCGATGGTGGTGGCCGAGGCCTTACTTGGTGGATCTGCCTTGCCGCTGGGCTGGGGCTGGTGGGGATGGGGGATGCGGGGGAGGGGAGCGACGGCTGTGTGTGTGTGTGTGTGTGTGGGGTGGGGGGGAGGGATGGGGGGGTGGGGAGGGATGGAGGTGGGCTAGGGCCGGAGGCGGTGGGGCTTTCCGCGGGTCTCCGGGATCCGTCCAGCTCCTCTCCGGGCTCGCTCATCACTCTCCGTCTCTCAGCTCCTCTGGTCGCGGCCTCCCTTAGGTCGCCCCCCTTGCAGAACTCAGCTGCTACCTCGCTGGGAGGGTGAGTCTCTGGGGAATCCGTCTGCCTCCCTCTTTGAAGGACTGATTGCAGAAGCATGGCCCTAGGCCCTAGTTATGTAATGGGAGAGAACCTCTGCCCGGGAGGTTCTGTGGCTCTTAGAAGCGAGTAAACTCCACTTTCTTGGTTTTCGATCTTTGGCTAGTCCCGAAGTGGGGACGTGGGGGCGGGGGGAGGGAGACGTTGTCGGGTGTTGCTGGGAACCTAGAAAGCTGTGCTTTCTGTCCAGATTGCAGCTGGGGCCAGGCCGCTGCTGCTGTTTTCAGAGTCTTTTTCCGTGTGGGGGTGCAGAGCTGTGGCTTCTTTTCTTGTGCTTTTCCATTTCTCACTCGGGATTGGTTCAGCAACCCTCCAGTTGTGAGAGAGCACTCGGAATAATCAAGAAACAAAGTAGAGCAAACTGCTTGAACAACAGAAAACATTTCCTCTGGGCATTAACCTGAAGATGACCGATTCTTTTGAGGGAAAGATAGGAAAGCTTTGGGTGTATAGAGCAGTTGCAGAACATGTGTGGGAAGCTGCCTATTATGGCAAAGTGCTCCATCTCAATGTTAATATCAAGAATATTTTTGGGATTTGCACTCAATCAGGAGAGTCCCGATTGTCCGTGGTAAGTTTTTCTTCATCCTTTTCTAGTTAGTCACGTTTATGGCTAATTTTGAATTAAGGTTTTTTTTTTTTTTTGTGGGCGGGGTGGGGGTGGTGGTGGTGGTGGTGGTGGTGGTGGTGGTGGTGTCTGGTCTTCCATTTTGTTTCCTAAGGCAACTTTGACTCTTTAAAATATTTTTGTACCTTTTGTTTGTTTAGTGATAGTTATCTAGAAAACTGTTTTTCATTCAACTCCATAATGTGCTTGAACTTTTGAGTTTAATACACTTCCTTGGCTTGTAACCCAGTTCAGTTTTGTATCTCTTTGCCATAGTAAGTGAGGCTTTTGTGGATTTATACTTTTTTGCAAAATATATATTTACATTTTTAATAACAAACTATAGAAATGATCCCTGCAAGTATAGTCATATATATTTACATTTATTTATTTATTTTTTTTATATTTACATTTTTAAAGCCTAACTATAATCTAGATTAGTTTTGGATGGATCTTATTACTAACAGTCTAGATTAATTCCCAAGTTGGTATGGGAATGACATTGTAAGTATCTCCCTAGATAGTTGTTTGCTGGTTGCCAGGGAGGAAAGAACAGGTGTAAATGTTTAGTTTCATCACCCTTTTATTTTGATGCTCAGAAGTGACTAGGAAGCATGTTGAAATTTACTAGTCAGCTGAAAGAGCAATGTACAGAAGGAATTATAAAGTAAATTATAGAATTTATTGCTCCAATTTTACCTTTGGTTATTTAAGAAACACATGAAGGAAGAAATAAAGGACCTAAGACACTTAAAAAGGTTGCCTTATGCCAGAGGGAATTTAGATTCTTTAGGGCTACTCAAGGCCAAAACTTTTTTTCACGATAATACTAGGACATTATTTGTCTCTTTTTATTTTGATTCTTTCATGAGTGTTCAGTGGAGTTTCTAGAAACTAACATGACCTGTGATGTCACAACAGATTGAACTGTAGAAGCAGATGTGAAAATCCAGCTCCTTTCCATTAAGCCAGACATTAAAGAAATTTGAAAAAATGCACAACAGTGTCAACTCTTCTCAATAGTTTTGTTTTGAAAACAGTTTTTTTTAAATGATTTTAGAGAGAGAGAGAGAGGAAAGTAGGGAGGAAGAGAGAGGAACATTGATTTGTTTCACTTATTTAATCATTTATCAGTTGTTTTTTGTAAGTGTTCTGAGTGAGGATTGAACCACAACCTTGGCTTAGGGCAACAATGCTCTGATCAACTGAGCTACCTGGCCAGGGCCTTGAAAACTATTTTTAATAAAAACCATTTGCTGCCCTGGCCGGTGTGACTCAGTAGATTGAGCACCGACCTGCAAACCCAAGGGTTGCTGGTTCGATTCCCAGTCAGGGTACATGGCTGGGTTGCAGGTCAGGTCCCCCGTTGCGAGAGGCAACCCATCAATGTAGATCTTGCACATTGATGTTTCTCTTCCTCTTTTTCTCCCTCCCTTTCCCTCTCTCTGAAAATAAATAAAATCTGTTAGAAAATGAAAAAAAACCTACTTGCTAATATATGAGGGGTTTACTGTTACTTTAAAATGAATTAATATTTACCTGTAAAACATTTTTCAGTTTCAGTGTTTAATATTGTAAACCTCGATAGGTATAACTAACCTGACAAAAATTTTATGGGATTCTAAATAATTGTTAAGTTCGTATAAGTCCTGAGACCAAAAAGTTTAAGGTCTTGTTCTAGTCTGATAGACCAGTATCATTGTTGATAATTGGACTCAGTACAGTGTCTTGTTGGGTGCTAAGGATTTAAGGAAGTAGGAAGCTGAGCTCCTACCCTTAAGAGGCTTTTGAAAAAGGAGTAAGAATCCCAAGTTACTACTATACAGTATCATCCATTGTCCCTAAAAGACAATTTTTATTTAAAGAAAGTTTTATTAGGGCAATGTATTTTCTTTTAAAAAAAGATTTTATTTACTTATTTTTAGATAGAGGGGAAAGGAGGGAGAAGAGAGAGAGAGAAACATCAGTGTGTGGTTGCCTCTTGCGTGCCCCACACTGGGATCCTGGCCTGCAGCACAGGCGTGGGCCCCGACTAAGAATCGAACCAGTGACTGTTTGATTTGCAGGCTGGTGCTTAGTCCACTGAGCCACACCAGCCAGGGCACAATGTATTTTCTGAGGCACCCTTAGGAGGCTATTGTCTGGTGCTAAGATACTGAAATTGAGTAATGACTTCAGGTTAAATCCAGGAGTGTCCAACACATGGCCCACAGGCCACATGTGACCCAGGATGACTATGAATGTGGCCCAACACAAAATTGTAAATTTACTTAAAACATTATGAGGTTGTTTTTGTGTGTGTGTGTGTATGATTACTTGTTGTAGTGTATTTAATCTGTGGCCCAAGACGACTCTTCTTCCAGTGTGGCCCAGAGACGCCAAAAGGTTGGATGCCCCAATAGACAATAAATTCATACAGGACTTAAATTGTTGTTTTTTCCATTGATTAGTGAAATATTATAAAATTGAGTGAAACATTTTGTTATAATTCTAACAATTCCAGCATTATCCAATAGATTTTTGGGCCATTATTGAATAATCCTCTAAAATAGGTTCTAAACCCAGGTTCATGGACCCTAAAAGGCTGAAAATCCAATGAAATTATATGGAGTGTCTTGTGAGTATTTGTGCATGTGTATTTTTTAGGGAGAAAAGGCCTATCTATAGCTTTCATTAGGAGTATATGCTCCTTCAAAAAGTTTAAGGACTAACCTGTAATAAATACCAGAGATCTGTTTGAGTACTCTTAATCTCACCTTGCAGCAACACTAATAAGCGTGTATATAGAACCAGAGCTTATTTTCAAATCAGTAAGGGCAATTTGTGCAAATATTTTCCCCTTTTACTTTGCTGTGTTCAAGTTTATAGTGTTTCTTTTCCTTAGCAAAATCATCAGTGGCAGCATGGACTGCACAGATCTTCGGTTCAGGTCTGTTAATTTGTAGTAATTAGATGACTGATTTACTTCACATCTTAACCGAAGCTGTTATAACAGGGTTCATGCTCCCCATCCCCACCTCAGACAGAGATTCCTTGGATGATTTCCTTTTATTGTTAGTCAGGGATTTGGAAGCATTATGAAATAGGGTTACCTGTTAGTACCTAACAAACTACCTCAAAACTTAGTGGCTTAAAACAACAGCCTTCTGTTTTGCTCATAAATCTGCAATTTGAGCAGGACTCTGTGAGTTGGACTCATCACTGCTCTCTGGTGTGTGGGGCCTCTGCTAGGATTCCAATACTCAGTTGACTGGGTGCTGCCATGGCTGGGCTCTTCTTGGAGTCTCAAGGTCTGAGCGGTCTCATCATGTGTTCTTTTCAGCATGGAGACCCCAGTATATTCAGACTTATACCATCTCAGGGCCCACAGATAGAGTGTATGCTCCCAAAGAACCCTAGGTGGAAGAAACCTCAAGCCTCTTGGGACTTATCCTTGGAAGTTACTGCTGCCATTTGTTGGTCAGGCCTATCCCTAAGGCTAGCCTAACTTCAGGGGAAAGGCATTTATTTATTTACTTCCCGGCTTTATTTTTTTATTCGGATACAATTGACATGTATTAGTTTTATTTATATAAGGTAGTGACTCGATAGTGTATATTGTGAAATGATCAGACTAAGTCTAGTTAACATCTGTAACCACACAGTTACAATTTTCCTCTTGTGATAACTTTTAAGATCTACTTTCGTAGCAGTTTGTAAATATACATACAATTCAGCATTAACTGTAGCCACCAAGGGAAATACATTGAGATTCCTTTTCTCAGTGGGAAGAGGAAAGAAGAATTTGAAGTTATCTCTAAATCTACCATATTAATTGTGTTAATTCTGTCAGGGTAGCATTGTTCCTTGCAGTATTCCTTATATTTTTCTGTTGATGTTTATTGGTTGTACTGTAAGTTTGAGATAGCAGGAGAAAATGATGAGCTGGGTATATATTAGGATTCATAGTTAGTCTGTCATAGAATAAATATGTTAAAACTATAGCTATGGCTGTGCATGTA